TTTTATTCTTCATTTTCCCATTGTTATTTTTCATTTCCTTTATTTTTTCCAAGTTTTCTTGAGATTTTATAATTTTTTGAATTTTCAATTTTCCGATTTCTTGACTTCGAAAAATTTTAAATTTAAAATATGATAGTAACGAATCGCCCGATGAACTCGATTAGAAAAATTGAAAAATCAAAAAGCAACTGAAAAATCAAATTTAAAAATTCGAAAATAGAAAAATTGAAATGTCGAAGTGATGAAAAATTTAAAGTTTAAAAAATCAAAATTTCGAAAATTTGGGGAATCGAAACATCAAAAAATCGAAAAATTGTAAAAGTTAAAACTCGAAACATTGAAATCTCGAGCAATTGAGAAATAGATAAATCGAAAAAGTAAAGAATCAAAAAATTTAAGAACCGAAAAATTATAAAATCGAAAAATCAAAAATTTAAAAAATTTAAAACCCAGAAGTCGAAAAATCGAAATAATGAGAAATCAAAACTTCAAAAAATAAAAGACCTGAAATTTAAAAAAATCGACAAATTGAAAAATCGAAGAACAGAAAAATTTAAAATTTTAAAAACTGAAAAATTAAAGAATTAATAAATCGAAATATTCAAAAATCAAAAAATCGTGAAATTCAACAATCGAAAGATCGAAATCTCGAGAAATTGAAAAATAGATAAATCGAAAAACTAACGAATAAAAAAATTTAAAAGCCGAAAAATTGAAAAATCTAAATTTTTAAAATTGAAAAATAAAAAAATTGACAGAATCGAAATATTGAAAAATCCAAATATTGTAACAACGAAAAATTGGGAAATCGAAAGATTGAAAAATCGAAAACCCGAAAATCGGAAAATTGAAGTAACGAAAAATGCTTCAATTTTTCATTTTTCAATTCTTCAGTTTCACAGTTTTTAATTTTTCGGTTCCTTAATTTCTCAAGTTCTTGATTTTTATTTTTCATTTTCCCGTTATTTTAATTTTCATTTCTCAATTTTTATACAATCGAAACATTGATAAATTGAAAAATCGAAAAATCAAAAAAATTTTAAATCTAGAAATTTAAAACCGAGAAGTCGAAAAATCGAAAAACTTCAAGACCTGAAATTTAAAAAATCGACAAATTGGAAATTGAAAATTAAAAAATCAATTTATCGAAATATCCAAAAATCAAAAAATCGATTTCATAATTTTCAGTTTATTCAATTTTTCAAATTTTCAATCTATTTTTTCACTTCTTGATACTCTAATTTTTTAATGTTGCAATTTTTCGATATTACAATTTTTCATTTTTCGATTTTTCATTTTCACAGTTTTTAATTTTTCGTTTCCTCAATTTTTCAAGTTGATTTTTTTTCCTTTTTCCGTTATTTTAATTTTCATTTCTCGATTTTGTACCACAGTTTTTCGTTTTTTCATTCGCCTTATTTTTTTTAAGTTCTCTTTCGATTTTATAATTTTTTTGATTTTTCAGTTTTGCAGTTTTTGGATTTCTAATTATACGAATTTCCGATTTCCAAAAATTGAAATATGGAAGAACTAAAAAATCGAAAAAAATTTAAATTTCAATATATTGAAAAATTGAAATATCTAAAAATTGAAGCATCCAAGCATCAAAAAAATCAAGAAATTGTGAAAGTTCAAAAAATTTAAAATTGTCAAACCGAAAAATCGAGAAATAGAAAATCTAAAATTTCAAAAATCGCAAAAATTGAAAAATTGCGAAATTGAAAAATTCCAAAAATGAAATGACGTAAAATTGGGAAATAGAGGCCAAAGTTGAAAAGTTCGAAATCGAAATTCTTGATTTTTATATTACAATTTTTCATTTCCTTCATTTTTTTCAAGTTTTCTCTCGATTTTATAATTTTTTGATTTTTCAATTCTGCAATTTTTAGACTTTCAATTATCCGATTTTTCGATTTCGAAAAATTTTAATTTTTAAAAATTTGAAAAAACAAAATTCGAAAAATTGAAACATAGAAATATTGAAAAACTGAAAAAACAAAAAAAATCTACAATTTAATAAATTGAAAAATTAAAATATCGAAATATTGAAAAACCGAAGAGTCGAAAAATCAAGAAATAGAAAATCAAAAATTGAAAAATCAGAAAAGTAAAATGACGTAAGATTTAGAAATGGAGGCCAAAGTCCAAAATAGAAAAACTTAAATCGATAACTCGAAATATTCAAAAATCAAAAAATCGAGAAATTGAACAATCAAAACACCGAAATCTCTTGAAATTGAGAAATAGATAAATTGAAAAATCGGAAAACTAAAGAATCAAACAATTTTAAAACTGAAAAATTGAAACATCGAAATATCAAAAATTTTTTAAATTGAAAAATCAAAATTTCGAAAAATTAAAAAATCGAAAATTCGAAACAAAAAAAAACGAAAAGTCGCAAAATCTAAAAGCGAGAAGTCGAAAAATCGAAAGCTTGAGAAACCAAGCTTTCGATTTCAAAAAACTGAAAAACCTAGAATTTAAAAAAATCGACAGATTGAAAAATTAAAATTTGGAAAAATTAAAAAATCGAAAATTCGAAACAAAAAATCGAAAATTCAAAAATCCCACAACTGAAAAATTAAGAACCTGAAATAGAAAAATTGAAGGAACGAAAAATGCTTCTTCAATTTTTCGATTTTTCAGTTTCAGAGTTTTTAATTTTTCAGGTACTTGATTTTTATTTTTCATTTTTCCGTTGTTATTTTTCATTTCCTTTATTTTTTCCAAGTTTTCTTGGGATTTTATAATTTTTTGATTTTTCAATTTTGCAGTTTTTAGATTTCCAATTTTCCGATTTCCTGACTTCGAAAAATTTTAAATTTAAAATATGATAGTAACCAATCGCCCGATGAACTCGATTAGAAAAATTGAAAAATCAACAAGCAACTGAAAAATCAAATTTAAAAATTCGAAAATCGAAAAATTGAAATGTCGAAGTGATGAAAAATTTAAAGTTTAAAAAATCAAAATTTCGAAAATTTGGGGAATCGAAACATCAAAAAATCGAAAAATTGTAAAAGTTAAAACTCGAAATATTGAAATCTCGAGCAATTGAGAAATAGATAAATCGAAAAAGTGAAGAATCAAAAAATTTAAGAACCGAAAAATTATAAAATCGAAAAATCAAAAATTTTAAAAATTTAAAACCCAGAAGTCGAAAAATCGAAATTGAACTCAAATTGAAAAATCGAAGAACTGAAAAATTTTAAATTTTAAAAACTGAAAAATTAAAGAATCAATAAATCGAAATATTCAAAAATCAAAAAATCGTGAAATTCAACAATCGAAAGATCGAAATCTCGAGAAATTGAAAAATAGATAAATCGAAAAACTAAAGAATAAAAAAATTTAAAAGCCGAAAAATTGAAAAATCTAAATTTTTAAAATTGAAAAATAAAAAAATGAAGAAATAAAAAAATTGACAGAATCGAAATATTGAAAAATCGGAAAATTGAAGTAACGAAAAATGCTTCAATTTTTCATTTTTCAATTCTTCAGTTTCACAGTTTTTAATTTTTCGGTTCCTTAATTTTTCAAGTTCTTGATTTTTATTTTTCATTTTCCCGTTATTTTAATTTTCATTTCTCAATTTTTATACAGTCACAATTTTTCGTTTTTTCATTTCCTTTATTTATTTCCAAGTTTTCTTTCGATTTCATAATTTTCTTGATTTTTCAGTTTTGCAGTTTTTAGATTTCCAATTTCGAAAAATTAAAAATTTAAAACTCGAAAAATGGAAATAGTTAAAAATCAAAAAACGGAGAAATCGAAACATAAATCTAAAAATAAAAGAATGGAAGAAAAAATGAAGATTCCCAAAACAACGAGAAATTGTGGAATCGAAAGACTGAAAAATCGGGAAATAGGAAAACTAAAAATTCAAAAACTTCAAAATAGAAAAATTGAAGGAACGAAAAATGCTTCTTCAATTTTTCGATTTTTCAGTTTCAGAGTTTTTAACGAAATGTCGAAGTGATGAAAAATTTAAAGTTTAAAAAATCAAAATTTCGAAAATTTGGGGAATCGAAACATCAAAAAAATCGAAAAATTGTAAAAGTTAAAACTCGAAACATTGAAATCTCGAGCAATTGAGAAATAGATAAATCGAAAAAGTAAAGAATCAAAAAATTTAAGAACCGAAAAATTATAAAATCGAAAAATCAAAAATTTTAAAAATTGAAAACCCAGAAGTCGAAAAATCGAAATAATGAGAAATCAAAACTTCAAAAAACTAAAAGAGCTGAAATTTTAAAAAATCGACAAATTGAAAAATCGAAGAACTGAAAAATTTAAAATTTTAAAAACTGAAAAATTAAAGAATCAATAAATCGAAATATTCAAAAATCAAAAAATCGTGAAATTCAACAATCGAAAGATCGAAATCTCGAGAAATTGAAAAATCGAAAAACTAAAGAATAAAAAATCGGAAAATTGAAGTAACGAAAAATGCTTCAATTTTTCATTTTTCAATTCTTCAGTTTCACGGTTTTTAATTTTTCGGTTCCTTAATTTTTCAAGTTCTTGATTTTTATTTTTCATTTTCCCGTAATTTTAATTTTCATTTCTGGATTTTTATGCAATCACAATTTTTCGTTTTTTCATTTCCTTTATTTTTTTCCAAGTTTTCTTTTTTTTTGCAAATTTTCAGTCTTGATTTTTCACTTCCTCTATTTTTCAATTTTTTTATTTTGCAATTTTTGGATTTCTAAATTATTGGATTTTCGGATTTCTTTCATTTTCAATATTTCGTTTTTCCGATTTTACACTTCCTTTTTTTATTTTCTCAATCTTTCGTTTTTTCATTTTTGAATTTTCAGTTTTACAATTTTGCATAACTCGTGAAATTTTAAATCGAAAAATCGCAATATGCAAAAATTGAAGAAACAAAAAATGATTTTTTTTCCAAGAATCTAAATATGAAAAAAAAAAGGCGGATTCATAAACCACAGATATAAAAGTAGGCCAAAACTGTCGTTAATTTCCTTAACACTTAACACTACCCAAAAGGTTAATCGGTATCTATGAATCCGTATACGAAGCAGACCAAGCGCCCGCCTTACGACTCTCTGATAGCTGGTCCGAGTTAATTCTCTCCCCTCAACTACTTCCCCTCATGTTCCAAGTGTTTTGGAAAGTAAAAGATTACGATGGGTTGTCCCATCACGCATTGACCTGTTTAGTCCAGTTAGCTTCCCTAAATGGTACCATCGTATCCACAGACAACATTAGGCTAGAATACCTAAAATCCTACATGGAAAACTTCTCCAAACTTGTGTCAAGGTTAGTTTCTTACTTAATTCAACCCCGACTCTAACCCCACCACTTCTAGCGTCACCATAAAGAACAAAGAATCGTTAGGTGTGTCCAACATAGTGAAAAAAATGATCGTATTTTTCATCAACGACATCCAACGACTACCCACTCAGCTCCAAGACTCGTATTTAGACGAACTCACGCGGTTGACGTGTTCGTTCTGCAAGGGAGCGGCCATGGAAGACATGGTACGTACCCTATACCGACTTAAGCCAAGACTTAAGTAAATTTCCAGTCCTCGGACGAAGAACGATACTACAACGACGCCTTCGACAACATGATGGAGGCCTGGATCAGCATCCTGCAAGAATACTCCACGAACTCCAACGGCAACATCCACGAGTGCGCTGTCCAAATCTTCAACACATATCTCCAGTTCCACCTAGCGCCCCCCGACGGCTCCCGCCAGAACCACGAGAACGAGCCCCAAGAAATCGAAGACAACGAAGACATCGACAGAATTTCGTTCAAAGACCAGTTACAAACGATCGGTATGTTCGGAAGGATTATCCCGTCACATGCTTTGCCTATTATATACAAGTAAGTTTTCAGTGTTTAGTCTCCGGTCCGCGTCGTTCGTTAACAGTTCGTGCTGTAAGTTGTGACATTGATTAAATACATATAGATAGACCCATGCTATTGTTTGGAGCGAACAGGCCAACGGCCGACGAACAAGAGATGGCGCACCAACAGTCGGCCGTCAAACGCCGGCGAAAAGCTTGGACACCAATCACGCGCATAGGTAACACAAATCACACCAACAATACATTTAATAAATCTACCACTCGATAGAGGGCGACGAAAAAAATGTGTAAAAATCTCATAGTCAGAAAATGCGTGGGAAAAGTCAAATTTTTTTTATAGATTTTCAAAAATTGAGCTTTTGTTGAAATTGGCTGAAAATCTACAAAAAATTCTGAGATGTAGATCTCGACGAGTTTAGTCAAAAAACATAAGGTCTTGCTGCTATTCGGTTTCCAAGTCGAATTTTTAAAATTTCTCAAAAATTATACTCCTATTTCTTTTGACGATTCTAGAAAAATTTTACAAATTTTCGATCAAATAAAACCAAAAACAACATCTGAAGATTGAAATAAATAAAAGAATGACTTTTGGTAATTTTTGGAAATGCTAAGAAAAGTCAAAATTTATTTAGTTTTCAAAAATTGAGCTTTTGTTAGAGTTGACAAAAAATTCTGAAATATAGATCTCGATGAGCTTAATCGAAAAACATGTTCATGCTCCCGGAGCAAAATTTACGAAATATTGGGTTCTACCTAAAATTTCTAAAAAATCTCAAAAGTGACTTAAAAAAAAGTTATTTCTTTATGCGATTGTGGAAAAATTCGACGAAATATCAAAAAAATAAAACCAAAAATAACATCTGTAGATCGAAATCAATAAAGAGATCCCTTTTGCTAATTTTAGAAGATGCTTGGGAAAAGTCAAAAAATGTATGGATTTTCAAAAATTGAGCTTTTGTTGAAATTAACAAAAAATCAACAAAAAATTCCGAGATGTAGATCTCGATGAGCTTAATCCAAAAACATAAGCTCTTGATGGTCCCAGATCAAGATTTTCGAAACATTCGGTTTCAAAGTTCAAAAATTACATTTCGTTTGGCGATTGCTGAAAAATTTTACGACTTTTCAACCAAATAAAACCAAAAACAACATCTGGAGATCGAAATCAATAAAGGAATCCCTTTTGGTAATCTCGAACGTGCTTGAAAAAAGTCAAAAATTTGATACAGGTTTTCAAAAATTGCCATATTTCTTCCGTCGATTCTGGAAAAATTGTAAGAATTTTCAAAAAAATTGAATCCAAAACGATTTTTGGAAATCGAGATGAACAAAGGAGTCTCTTTTGATAATTTTTAAAAATGCTTGGGAAAAGTCAAAAATTTTATATGGGTTTTCAAAAATTGAACTTTCGTAAAAGTTGACAAAAAATTCTGAAATATAGATTTGGACGAGCTTAAAAAAACATGACAGGTTCATGGTTCCGGATCAAAATTTTCGAAATACTCGGTTTCGAGCTCGAATTTTCAAAATTTCTCAAAAATTACCATATTTCTTTTGGCGATTGTGGAAAAATTGTACGCATTTTTGAAAAAACAACCAAAAACAACATCTGGAGATCGAAATCAATAAAGGAATCCCTTTTGGTAATCTCGAACGTGCTTGAAAAAAGTTAGAATTTTCAAAAAAATTGAATCCAAAACGATTTCTGGAAATCGAGATGAACAAAGGAATCTCTTTTGGTAATTTTCGAAAATGCTTGGGAAAAGCCAAAAATTTTATATGGGTTTTCAAAAATTGAACTTTCGTAAAAGTTGACAAAAAATTCTGAAATATAGATTTGGACGAGCTTAAAAAACATGACAGGTTCATGGTTCCGGATCAAAATTTTCGAAATACTCGGTTTCGAGCTCGAATTTTCAAAATTTCTCAAAAATTACCATATTTCTTTTGGCGATTGTGGAAGAATTGTACGCATTTTCGAAAAAACAACCAAAAACAACATCTGGAGATCGAAATCAATAAAGGAATCCCTTTTGGTAATCTCGAACGTGCTTAAAAAAAAGTCAAAAATTTGATACAGGTTCTCAAAAATTGCCATATTTCTTCCGTCGATTCTGGAAAAATTGTAAGAATTTTCAAAAAAATTGAGTCCAAAACGATTTTTGGAAATCGAGATGAACAAAGGAGTCTCTTTTGATAATTTTTTGAAAATGCTTGGGAAAAGTCAAACATTTTATATGGGTTTTCAAAAATTGAACTTTCGTAAAAGTTGACAAAAAATTCTGAAATATAGATTTGGATGAGCTTAAAAAAACATGACAGGTTCATGGTTCCGGATCAAAATTTTCGAAATACTCGGTTTCGAGCTCGAATTTTCAAAATTTCTCAAAAATTACCATATTTCTTTTGGCGATTGTGGAAAAATTGTACGCATTTTCGAAAAAATAACCAAAAACAACATCTGGAGATAGAAATCAATAAAGGAATCCCTTTTGGTAATCTCGAACGTGCTTAAAAAAAAGTCAAAAATTTGATACAGGTTCTCAAAAATTGCCATATTTCTTCCGTCGATTCTGGAAAAATTGTAAGAATTTTCAAAAAAATTGAGTCCAAAACGATTTTTGGAAATCGAGATGAACAAAGGAGTCTCTTTTGATAATTTTTTGAAAATGCTTGGGAAAAGTCAAAAATTTTATATGGGTTTTCAAAAATTGAACTTTCGTAAAAGTTGACAAAAAATTCTGAAATATAGATTTGGACGAGCTTAAAAAACATGACAGGTTCATGGTTCCGGATCAAAATTTTCGAAATACTCGGTTTCGAGCTCGAATTTTCAAAATTTCTCAAAAATTACCATATTTCTTTTGGCGATTGTGGAAGAATTGTACGCATTTTCGAAAAAACAACCAAAAACAACATCTGGAGATCGAAATCAATAAAGGAATCCCTTTTGGTAATCTCGAACGTGCTTAAAAAAAAGTCAAAAATTTGATACAGGTTCTCAAAAATTGCCATATTTCTTCCGTCGATTCTGGAAAAATTGTAAGAATTTTCAAAAAAATTGAGTCCAAAACGATTTTTGGAAATCGAGATGAACAAAGGAGTCTCTTTTGATAATTTTTTGAAAATGCTTGGGAAAAGTCAAACATTTTATATGGGTTTTCAAAAATTGAACTTTCGTAAAAGTTGACAAAAAATTCTGAAATATAGATTTGGACGAGCTTAAAAAAACATGACAGGTTCATGGTTCCGGATCAAAATTTTCGAAATACTCGGTTTCGAGCTCGAATTTTCAAAATTTCTCAAAAATTACCATATTTCTTTTGGCGATTATGGAAAAATTGTACGAATTTTCGAAAAAACAACCAAAAACAACATCTGGAGATCGAAATCAATAAAGCAATCCCTTTTGGTAATTTCGAATGTGCTTGAAAAAAGTCAAAAATTTGATACAGGTTTTCAAAAATTGCCATTTTTCTTCCGTCGATTCTGCAAAAAATGTAAGAATTTTCAAAAAAATTGAATCCAAAACGATTTTTGGAAGAAATCGAGATGAACGAAGGAATTCTTTTGGTAATTTTCGAAAATGCTTGGGAAAAGTCAAAAATTTTATATGGGTTTCCAAAAATTGAGCTTTTGTTAAAGTTGACAAAAAATTCTGAAATACACATCTCGACGAGTTTAAAAAAACATGACGAGTTCATGGTTCCGTACCAAAATTTTCGAAATATTTGGTTTCGAAGTCGGATTTTTAAAATGTGTACTAAACATGCAAAAAAATAAACTCAAACAAATTGGATGTTACCTATATGGTCCCTACACAAATTTTTGGATGCAGTACAGCTGTTTGTGAATCTACATTCTCTGTTTTAACCAGCATTTTAACCAAGTACCGTACTAATTTTTTGGACTTCGACAGGTTTTTATGAAAATTTAGCGTGAAAAATCGACGTTTCCAATTATTTTAATGTTCTTTCAAATATAAAAACTCAGAAAAAATAAAGTAGCTATCTGAGTGTATTATTAAAATATAAATATTTACATGAAGCCCCCTCTGTCGACAAACTTGCCCCCCCTGAATAAGTTTTCTAGCTACGGGGCTGAATGGGGTAGTACCTACATACAAACGTATGCGTAATATGTCGTTAGACATTAGGTATTTATCAAAATTAACCAAATCTCTTAGTTTACGCACTATTGGACGAGCACTCCTTAAAACGATCAGAATACTTAATCGCATTATTCCATTGACACCTACCTAAAACTTTGCCAGATGAACCTAACACAAATTTGCGGAGATTTCTCGTCAAACAGGTAATATTTGATTTTGAAGTTTCTGGAAGTAAATAAATGGGAATATTATAATGAACAAATAAAACAAACAAATTATTGTTATTATTATTTGTTGTTTTAATCCATTAGACGCTTATAGGCTATCGCATACTTTTCTTGAAAAATCGGTAATAAATTCAGTGAAGCATCTTTGCCCCTTAATTCCTATGGGTAAATTGGGATTTTGAATAGAGATCGCAGAAACATTTTTTATGGTTTTATGGTTTATTTACATAATTTACTTATTTACAATGAATGTTTTTAATATATAATACAAGTTCTTGATATTATTTATTTTTATTACAATTAATAATCTTGTGTTATTTTTCATTTTCAACAAGAAAATTTTGTCGCTCATTATCCAATATATTTTTATACAATGAGGAACACCATGTTTCACATCACAGGACGTTGCAGGAAAATATTTAAATAAGCTTTTGTTATTTCACTTCGACGCAAGAACCATTTCAAAGAAAACAAACAGTGAAAAAGCGGAACAGATTCACAAAGTTTTCTTTTTTTTCTTCTGTTTTGCAGTGGGTGGGAAATATGGTGTATTGTACATTTTACAATAAAAATATCGATTTCAGGCAAATTTCCGCACCACCAATGAGGTATTGCTACCGTGCGTTTTTTTTTTTTTTTTTGTTTTAGCAGTCCTATCTCCAATAGGCCTAATGCACT